GGCGCGCGCCGGCGCCGCCGGGGGGAGCCGCATCGGCCACCGCCTCGGTGGCCATGGATGCCGCCATCACGCTGGGTGAGGGGACAGGGCAGCACTGGGCACAGACACCGGGGCCGACCCGCCGATGGCATTTCTGCAACGGAAAGGCTGGGATGGGGCAAAGGTCTGGTGGCGAAAAGGCTTTTTGGAGCGATTTGGGTTATTTTTGCCATGTTCGGTCAGGTGGTTTCCGTTCTGGGGACAAGAGCCGGCTTCCCCCTCTCCCGGCTGCACCACGGTGCAAACCCAGCCGTGCCACGGAGACGCTCGGCTTCGGTCTCCTGGGGAGAAAAGGAAGCGAATCCACGAGGCTTGGCCACAAGCTCGCCTTTCTTTTCCTTCCCCCCCCCCCCCCCCCCGGGGCGGCTCCTCCAGGAGCCCCAAGCTCAGTGGTGCCTGGAGCGAAGGACCCCCGCACTGGCCCCGCTCTGCCCCGGCCCCCGCAGCGCTCGGCTCCGGCGGGAAGCTGCTTTTAAAGCCCCTTCCTCTCGTGTGGACTCTGTCGTTTCGGTCTCTTATCGTTAAATGGTTATTTTGTAATGATATCTGTCTCCTTATTAAAGAAATGAGCTGAAAGGAGGCCCGGTTCCCTTCTGGTCTTGCTGCTGGGGCTCAGCGGGGCGTCCGTGGTGGGGGCAGGTCCCAGGGCCGTGAGCCCGGGGGCGATGGAGGGACGGGGGCGCGAGGGGAACCCCGCGAGGGCCCAGGGCCCCCCAAAACACGAGTGTGCTCACGCGCGTGGCAGGGACAGCTCCGGGCAGCCTCGAGCCCTGGCTGATCATGGCTGGCCCAGACGTGGGGTGCAGGTGGGGAGATATCAAAGGTCCCCACCCCCTACCGTTTGGTCCGTATGTCCATGTTTAGGTCCTGCCCTGCTTTGCAGAGGTGCCGGCTGCCCCTAAGCCCAGGGGGAAGAGCTCAAGCCCCAGTAACCACCCCCGAAGACTAAAATACGCAGAGGTTTGTAGAAACCTCACTCAGGACGAAGGCTCCCAGACGAGGCACCAGCGCCCGTGCCTTTGCTACGGGTTTGTCCCGACCGAGCTCCTGAGCAGAGCACAGACAGGGCTTGGCACGGGGGGAGGTGGGCCTGAGCCCCGGTGCGGCTCAGAGGCATCAGATGGGGCCCTGTCCCTTCGCCTTCCCGGCTGGTGGGGGGCTTTCAGGGACGGGCACCCACGGTTCCTTCGTTTGAGCCCTCCCGGCTCAGGCACGCAGGGGAGCGTTGCCTGTCCCCTGCTGTAGCTGCAGCAGGTACGCAGCTGCAGAGCATTTCTGCTTTTACGGACCATTGACACCGTCGTGCTACGGAAATCTGGGGAGAAACAGGGCACTAAACGACTTGCAGCTCCAGAAAGATGGAAGCAAAGTCAAAGCTTCTCTTTTATCAACTCTTATTTTATTAATTTATAAATACTGTTGTGTTTACAAGCATCATAGATGTGAATATTATTCCCAAACTTTCAAACACATAATACTTATAATACTATATAACAACAACCAGTAAAACAAATCATTCATCTCAGGGTTTGAAAGGCCACTCAAAAGTTGCATAAAAATACATTCTCTCCCCATCTCGTCAGCTAGTTCTGCTTCTCCAAGGAGTTTATTTACAAAGAGCCATCATCAAACTCGCAGCCACAATAGGCGGGTTCACCCCAAGCAATAAAAATGAATTCACCCCAAGCAATTGCTTAGAAAAAAAGCGTTGTGTTCTCCAGTGGAGATCACGTCTGGCAAATGCTCTGGTTCAAATAGGGATCAGTTTTAAAAACTGCTTGCTTTGCACTCTGTCCCAAGCGCAGAGTGCAAGGTGTCCTAGCGGCACCTCCTCAGTGCACTGGTTATGTCAGGCATTAAGTGAGACCAAAAAAAATTCATTCTCAAGAATTTGGTTTGCAGTTGCATCGTGATCACGAAATACTCACAGCTTTGGCTAGTCAGCAAGACTGAACCGTTGGGGGGTCCTCTACCCTCGTCAGAGTTCAGGGGATAATCCAGTGCTAAGCAGACACTTCAGCTGAAGTGGTTTGGCTTTGCAAGGTGCCACGCGGAGGAATGAAGCCTTCCGCACCCTTTGCATACCGTTCCTTAGGATAAAACGCAATGAGCGTCCTGGTAGGAAGGGGCAAAACGTCAGCACAGGCTGGATTTGTCAGATTGGGTTGAACCCTCTCCCTAAAACAGATACCAGGCTTCTTCGCGCTGCCAGGAACCTGCCTCGTGAGAAGAACAGGATCTTTAGTCTGAAATCTCGTCCCTCGTCCTGCTGGGACGCACAACCTGAGATGCGCGCGTTGGCACGCCAGCGCTGCGCCGGCCGCCGGCAGCCCCAGCAGGCGAGTATCTTCCTCTCCGCGTGGCACAGAAGGGACTGGACTCCTGTTTAGAGCTGGGAGAGCCCAAGTCTGAAGCGAGGAGTGGGTCACCAAGAGAAAAAACATCAAGAGCCGCAGAACTACTCACATAAAGAGTGCACCAAGAGGGAACGGCGTGCAGAAAAAGCATTGACCGGATCTCAAGACTTAAAGCTGTTAAATATAGCAGGGTTAAAATAAAGTAATATAAAAAGGATGCCTGGCTTAGGCAGTGCTCTGCAGAAACCCTGATGCCGTTACCAGCTTTGGTCTCTTCCTCCCCAAAGCGCAGCAGCAGAGGAAGGGCCGCAGTGTACCAGGAGACACGGCATCTCGTGCCGTGGACACGTAACTCCGCTGGCTGAGGAGCGGTGGAAGAGGAACCTCTGTCTAGAGCTGCCTGGGAAAAAAACGGCAGCTCGAAGAAGAGCTAGAGAGGTGGAAACAGGCAGGACGGGGAGGGGAAGGGGAAAAAATGGAGAATTAGGGGAAAAAAAAAAAAGAAAAAAACCCAAGGGAGAGGAAAATAAACACGCTTTCTGAAGCAATAACCAGCAAAAGGTTCCAAAAAGCCCAGGCTTGGCTGACAGAGATAAATTTTACCCTGTTGAGCAAGCTCAAGAATTATGCTCATTTTCAAGTATCTCATCTATCTCTCTCATAGCGGAAAGAGTCCCACCAGCCCGTGGGAGCCGCGAGCCCCCAGTCAGCAGAGGTGGCCAGGAACGTGGGTAGAACTTCTTCATGGCAACCTCCAAGTTCAATGACCGAGACTCCAACTCTCAGCCAGACGGAGCAGGGAAATCAAAGGACAAAGGGAATGGAAGGACAAGGATGGAAGGATGTAGATGGGAAAGTGGTTTGGATACAGCAAGAAGTCTCTGAGAGGGAAGGTATCGTTCGAGAGAACGGGGAAGCTCAACAGATCTGATGACAGGTTACTGCTGCTATCATCAAAATCACACAGCACGTAGAGGAGCCACTGTCTAAATGCCCATAGAGAGAACAATTTCAAACTGTTCTGAGTATGTGTAACATTAAAGAGTTGGGTTTTTTTGAGGTTTCCTTCAAGGTCAAGGCTTATTGCAAGCTTTTGACAGACTAAAAGACTTTCATCCTAGCGATACAGTTACCAGCACGCCCAAGGGCAGCTCCTTGTCCCTCTGACACCAACACACCTACACCTTTCCAAGGCATGCGGGAGGACGAGTGATCGCTGCTTCATGCTCCTCTGCCTTGAAACCCAGCTGCTTCACCAACAGATGGGTGGGACTGGACTCTGGCATTCCCCCTCTCTACAAACCAACCAGCGCTGCCTTTCACTTGGTCAGCCTCCTGCTGCAAATCAAAGCAAGGCACCTGAGATACCAGCCCAGACTCCTCTACAGGGCTCTGCCTTCATGAAGGTAACAGGAAAACGTCCCAGATGGCTGTTAGGAGGCAGGGGCTGGTTTCTGGTGTAGGCAAGGTGATTCACGCTCACCTGCATGTGAAAGCAGCAGAGGATCTCTAGGGGTTCAAGCTTGTCCTTCAGAAAGCTTGGCAAGTATCTGCAATACGTCCTATCCCGAGGAGGAAGAGTCCAGATGCAATTAGCAGATGCTACTGAGACAGGAGCTCTGGAAGGATACGTGATACCAAATCACCCAGGCTGCGGAGGAAAGGTGGGGTGAGGGGTAAGGGGTCTGACGCCGAGAGCCAGCGCTGACGTTACTGAACAGGTTTGAAATCTTATATTGATAAGACTCAGTCTACCGGGGCAAAAGAAGAAGGTCTCTGTGCAAAGCAGCTGTCGTCAGCCTGTTACAGAAATCAGCCCTGGTGGCTTTCACAGCATCACATTTCCACCAGAGTCCCCCATCTCGGGTGGGCTGACGTGCAGTCTCTGAGTCCCAGCCCACGTTCACATTTCCCACCTGTAAAGGGCTTGGATGTGCTGGATTAGTTCTTTAGGCGTCACTTTTTAAAGTAGGAGCTACCTACTCCAGATCGGAGTCCAACACCAAATACTGGGCTTCTGGAAGAAGACATTTTGGCAGCTCAAACCCAGTCCTCACGTTTCTCTTCTTCCTTGAATAAAATGTCCGAGATACCACAACATGCTTAAATTAAAAATAATAAAATGGCAGGGGTGTGTGTTGTGGGGGAAATAAGGGCAGAAAGGGAATGTACAGCAAAGGGCAGGGCAAGGCAGGGGGGGGAGAGTGGTCCCCCAGCGTGAA